ACTGCAAGTTTCTTGGTAAAACCCCACCAGTCGCTCCTCTGAATCCCTCTACAGAGTCACTATGGGTCAACGACACTTAATAACAGCAACAAGAACATGTTGTTGTTGTTACATGCCGTCGAGTTGGTTCCGACCCATAGCGACCCTGTACAGGGTTTCCGAGGGTGTAAATCCTTACGGGAGTAGAAAGCCTCATCTTTCTCCCACGGAGCAGCTGGTAGTTTCGAACCGCTGACCTTTAGGTTCGCAGCCCGATTTGTAACCACTACGCTACCAGAGCTCCTTGGATTTAGAAAAATTTACAAGTGTAACTACCATTAATGCAATATACCACTATACACCAATGCTTAACACAAGTGTATCTAATAAATTATTTTATGAATTAAATGTGTTTAGATGAAACCATCTACCTTCATAAAAAATATTGGACCAGATGTGGCTAGAGTAAGAGTCCTGGTGTGACACCATAGGATAAGCACTGGACTGCTAACTACAAGGTTAGTCATTCAAACCCATCAGGGGCCCATTACAAAATCTATGCAGGGTGTCTATGAGTAGGAACCTACTCAGGGACACTTAACAACAATAGCAACAATGGATAGGAAAATTTTCTTTGTAAAGGTTGTTCTATATAATCCACCAAATTTTTGTGCTCACTTGAAAAAAAAAAAAATGTTTTTTTACTGGTAGAGGTCAAAAGGCCTTAATGAAGATCAAATTTTCCAAGGCTAAGAATGAAACCTCTAAAATGTATATTTCTAAAGCATGATATGATTTCTAGGCTTGTGATTGTTGAATTCTTTTTTTCATTTTAAGGTGAACTCTGTTTGATACCCTGATGACACAAGTCTCAGTACTTGAAATTTATAGAAATAATAAAAATAAAACAAGTATGTCAATACACAAACTAACAAAACTAGACTCCACACCTAGACAGTTAATCTTATCTTAATATGAGACCAAGGGACAATGCCTAGACTTTGAAGGGGAAGCGGAGCAGAGTCTAAGAAAGAGGTCATTATGAAGTTTGTCAGGTTTAGTGAGTAACATATCTTAACATCTCTTTTCATTCTACAGGCAATATCAGTAACATGAAAAAAATTCTATATATAATTCTCCCCCTATTTTGTTGTTTTTATCACTACTTGTATGTCTGTCTTTGATGTATCTTACGACATAATTTTATTGTTGCCTTTTATATATTTGTTATTAGAAAACAGGTAAAACAAAACATTTAGCCTTATCAATCATCAACTTATAATAGCTCTTAAAATTGACCCTATGTTTTCTTTATCTTAGACTCACTTTTTAGTGTCTTTGCTCTTCCATCGGAGGCATTCCTATTGTTTGTTTTGTTTTGCTATGTTTTTGAAGGGCAAATTTGGTAGATATAAACTGTCTTAGTTTTTGTTTGTCTAGGAATATTTTAATTGAACCCTCATGCTGAAGAATAGTTTTATAGCGTTCTTTTTTTTTTTTTTGCACTATCCTAAAATTTTTCTTATGTGTGAGCCCACTGTTTCGCTGCATCCATTACACCAATACATAACATTAGGCTTTTTCCTAATTTTTTTTTTAATGTTTTATTGTGACTTATGTGATGGTTTACATTTGAGAACATTAGCTTTGCACTCATCCTGTGGTATATTGTTTCATTTCCATGGTTACAATCCCCTCCATATATCATCAAACAACCAAAGGGTATACCCTGTAAGCTTTCCTCCCAGTGGTCAGCACACAGACCCTCTCCCTCTCTGGGTCTAGAGTCCCTAGCCGCTCCATCTCTCCACATCATCCTCTCTGCCTCCATCTCTGGCATTACTGTTTCTCTGGGTAGGGTACCACACTCCACTCTTCTACTTTGATGGTTCCAGGGACCTCTGTTCCTGGACTGCAAAGTCAAACTGGTATAGTATTCTTGATAGACAGTTTTTTGTTTGTATTTTTTCTTTTATCACTTTAAATATATCATCCATTGTCTTCTGGTCTCCAGTGTTTCTGAGGTAAAAGCAAAAACAAAACAGTACTTACTCTTATAGGGAATAATTGGTGTGTGATTTAACTTCTTTCCAAATGCCTTATTAATTCTGTTTTGTCTTTCACTTTTGCAGTCTTAATTATAATGTCAGAGCCTTTGTTGCACAGAGGTTAGAGTACCCAGTGATACCAAAGGGATGGCCATCTGAACCCACTAGGTGCTCCATGCCAATGATATAACAATCTGCTTCCCTAAAGATTTGCAGCCTTGAACATCCTATGGTGCAGTTCTCCTCTGTCCGATAGTGTCACTGTGGCTTGGGATCAAACTGATGGCAGAAGGTTTCAGTGGGTTTAACTGTGATGGGTCTTAGTTTAGAAAACCTCGGGTTGATCCTACCTGGGGTTCCTTGAGCTTCCTGGATGTATAGCTTCAAGTCGTTCAGTAGATAAGGGAAATTGTCATTATTTCTTCAGCTATTCTTCTTATACCTTTGTCGATCACATCTCCTTCTGGAATTCTCATGTTGTATATCTATGTTAGATCTTCTGTTGTTGTGGTTTAATTATAAACTGTGCTCAGGCTCCTTGAGCCTTCATTCTCATTACTCTTCAGCATCTGCAATTTTAACTCTTTATCCTCAACTTCACTGATTCTTCTGATTGATTTAATCTCGTTGTAAGACCTTCCATTGTGTTTGTCATTTCAGTTGTTGTTCATTTGGCCACAATATTTCTTTTTTCAGGTAGTTCTTAGGTTGTTGTTTTTTGTTCCCCTTTAGTTCTTTGTTGCTATTTTCCTGACCACTTTAATTACGTTTAATGTTGCAGTAGCACAGCCTTATTATTTTAATTTTTTTTCTTTTTCATTTTTTGCTAATCCCCATTGAATTGTCATTCCCTTTGTCAGGCTTATTTGCATGGATCATTGTTTTCCCTGTTATCTGTGTGCGTCTTATTTTTGTTGTGGAGCTGGACTTTTCTGGGGCGTTAAGTTTTGAACTGCTCCCCAGTATTTGGTGATTTTGTCTGTATTTTTTTCTTTAAAAATCTTTTAGGTGATCAGCAATTTATTACTGACTGTTCCCTCTCCCTCTCATTTTTCTAACTTTTTAAATAGGATTTGAAAACATGCTGCGCTCAATCTGTTCACCAGATGGCGCCATAACTCAGCTGAGGAACTGATCACAGCATCTCTTGAGAGTTTAACCCTCTCCTCTCTAGGATTAGTGGTGGTTTCCCTGCTCACACCCCGAGTCTCCCTTGGGTCTGATTTAAATGATGGTGGTATATATACATTTTTCTGATTGTGAGCAAAGATTAGGTATTGGAGAAAAAGTGAAATGATTAAATAGGTGGACTATGAAACATATAAGAAAAAGGGGCCCTTAAGTGACAAGTTAATTTTAATGAATTTCTGGATGAAATACATTGAATATTCCCTGGGTGGGCATGATGGCAGGTCTGAAGGATTTAGTAAAAGCTGATGTAAAATAATTGGATTGGTAAAACTTGTGAACAAGGCAGGAAACATGCTCTCCTAAGGCATAAAATGACTGTTGATGGCGCCTACTTTCATTTCATTGAATGCTGTTTTCTAGGTGATTCTGCTAAGTTATTCAGTTTCTTTTTCATGATAATGATAATTAGAAATACTGTAATAACATTAATCAAAACAAATGACAGTGTATCTTGTGTTCTTCATACTGTTCTAAATACTTTATCTGGCTTAACTAGAAATCAGCACTATTAGGTAGGCATCATATTTTCAGAGTTTCAGAAAGATGGAAACTGAGGCAAAGAGAGGTGAAGTGGTTGATCTATGTCATACCACCAATTTGAAAAGCAGCATCATGAATCCACATGGTTTGACTTCAGGGTTTGTGATTTTAACAATTAGTCTGTGACTGTGGATGAAACTCTAAGTCATAAATGGGTGAAGGTTCACTAGAGTTTGGAGTAGTATTAATAAAGCTGTTTTCTTTAGAGGTACTGTAAAACTGGGGAGGCAAAAGGGCTTAAGTACTTTAGAAACTTGACAGGTTTTTAAGTAAATGAGAACCAGCCTCTCATCCTGTGTGGTGGGATGTACCTGAACATAGGTCATAGCACCATCTCCTCAAAGTCCTGAAGAACAGAAAGAAAACCTAGAGTAGTTTTCCATTGAGTAGATCAGGAGGCTGAGCAAAGGTTTCTGAGATTGTGACACAGATGAAGACCTGAGTGATAAGATAAATGTGCTGTATGGAATGGAGAGATGCTTAGACTCTAGTTTCTCTTCATGGAAATGGGGTCACATGCACTGTGGAGCTCATATCCTCATGGAGACTTCTCATTGGTTACTTTTGCACCCGCTCTGCTGGGTCTAATTGAATGTTTCTTCTTATTAAACCTGAAAAAATTATGAGGCAACGTATGGTGCCTCATGGAATATTGCAAAGCAGCAACGAAGGAATATCTGGTAGAAAAATTTTGAATCACATCCTCATTCTAAGTAGATCCCATCATGTACCACAGAGAAATCTAAGTGTCCTGGAGAGGAGAGAGACAGACATGGCATCTCAGGCATTTCTTTTCTTCCCAAAAGATTTGTGAGAAACACCATTTGATTGTGTCATAGGTAGTAATGTTGGTTTTTGTTTTGTTTTTAAGTGCCATAGAGTCAGTTCTGAGTCATAGCAACCCTGTATTTGCTTTTCCAGGAGTAGCTGGTGAGTTTGAACCACCAACCTTGAGGTTCAAACCAACCTTTGTATCCAATGAATTACACAAGGGTTAAATTCAGTGGCCCTTAGAAATTCAGCCCTGAATCTGAGTCTAAGGCTTTTCTGACATGGCCTCCTGAGGATGGTTGCTCATGTGCAGAGAAGAGATGACAAAGCCTCTCTGCAGCTGAAAGTCCAGCTGGCCCCACCCACCTGCTTTGCATATTCCTTCCAGTCCACCTGGTCCTCCAGAGCCCATATGAATGCTGGGTCTGCACTCAGGGGAAGATCTGTCTCACTTGGGGCACAGAGTGAACCATGGAAGGCCCAGTTCAGCTTCTCTGCCTGCTAGTGTTCTGGCTCCCAGGTGAGGGCAATAGGGATGGTTCTCTCAGTGAAAAATTGTTTTTAATGTTTTTAGGTCCTGAGACCTGACACCTTTGTTAGTCAAGCACAATGAATAAAGCATAGTTTCAATGTAGATTTGGTCTGCTGGGAAGACAATGTGGTATGGTTAGATCATATGTGTGACTTGGTGTTTTATTTCCAGCTTCAGATACCATGGAAGACATTGTGATGACTCAGTCCCCAACTTCCCTTTCTTTGTCTCTTGGTGAAAAAGCCTCCCTCACCTGCAGGTCCAGTCAGAATGTTGGTAACACCTTAGCCTGGTATCAGCAGAAACCTGGGCAGGCTCCCAAACCCCTCATCTATTACACATCCTACATGGCTGATGGCATCCCAGACAGATTCAGTGGAAGTGGGTCTGGGACAGACTTCACTCTCACTATCAGCAGCGTGGAAGCTGAAGATTTTGGAACTTATTACTGTCAACAGGCTATTTATCTCCCTCTCACAGTGTTACATGCTTGAACATAAACCCCACCACCCCAGGGAGCAGATGTGTGAGTGTGGTCATCCCATGGGCTTCTCTTTGTGCCTCCATCTGCTTTGAGTCTTTTCAGATGCATCTACTCTGTGAAGATGGAAGATCATGGCTTGTTTTTCTACAAAGGGCTTGCTGGCTCCTCAGCACCCTTACCCTCATTCCTTCTCCTTAGTCTCAGCAGCATAGACATAGGCAGTGCCTGTCCTAATTTAATGAAGGACAGAAATAATAATGCTGGGGTTTAGCATCAATCAGAGTTCTTAATTCAAAAGTGCAGCCATTCTCAGTATTCTAAACAGGAGCTGTTATAACAATTCTATTTAGGTAATTAAAATCTAAACCACTTTCTAATCCCAGGGACTCCCCTTGCCAGGGAAGCAGATAGTGGAAAAGAGTGAGTCTCACATGACTCTCCAGAGTCCAAGTACAGCTGTACTGAAGGTATCTGGTCCCTAACTCTATGGTCCTCAGACCTGTGTTGGCGTTCGGGGTGAAGGTACTGTTGCTCTCAGTGTGTACTCTTATCTGTCTTATTTCTGTCTCAGGGTCTGCTTGAAGGTGCTGATGGAGAGTAATGAATCCTTTCCATCTCCTGATAAATTTTATGATTGAGTCCATTTTTGACAACATTATAGGAGACTATGTTGTTGTTGTTGTTGTTATGTGCCTTGGAGTCAGTTCCGACTCATAGTGACCCTGTACAGGGTATCCGAGGTTGTAGATTTTTACAGGAACAGAAACCTCGTCTTTCTCCCACTGAACAGCTGGTGGTTTCGAACTGCTGACCTTGCAATTCGCAGCCCGATTCGTAATCATTACGCTACCAGAGCTCCTTATAGGAGATTATAGTGTTGTCAGAAAAAAGGAAATCTGGTAGCATAGTGGTTACAAATCCGGCTGCTAATCTCACAGTCAGCAGTTTGAAACTACCAGCTGTTCAGTGGGAGAAAGATGAGGCTTTCTGCTCCCGTTAAGAATTACAGCCTCAGAAACCCTGTATAGGGTCTCTATGAGTTGGAACCGACTCCATGGCACATAACCATAGAAGTCTATAGGGAAAAAAAAAATGTTATGTGACATGCACTTCAAAACCAGATGGAGACTTCCGGCGCTTCCCTGACTGGGCAGCACAGGTGCGCAGGCTCCAGGGAAGATATGGGTGGTATCGCATAGGGGAGTGCCCCGCCTGGTAGACAGACAGCCTTTCGGCAAACATAAGTCTTTAGCCTTCAACATTATGGACTTGCTTTTTTGAAGGATCAAGCTTCTGGGGAGTTGTGGGCATTTTGAGCTTCTGCCTGCCTGCACTCGCCTGCACTCATCTCCTGCTCTGGGACTGCGCCCGTCCACTGCGGAGCTTGGATCACGGGGCTTGAGCGGACCCATTCGGAGGGCGGGCGTGCTCAGAGAGCCAGCGGGGCCACAGGAACTGGCATGGTCCTTCGTGGGCACCCGCCCCGCCCTACATCCTCCCATGGTCTGTGTGTGTGTGTGTGTGTGTGTGTGTGT